AAAAAAAAATCAAGTTAACACAACTCGTATGGTGTAAAAATTCCTCTGCACACTAATATTGACCTGCCTATGTGTGTCTCAAACTGAGAAGTCAAACGCAATTCGTTTTTTTTTCATTTTATGAAATGTAATAATAAAAGAAGAAATATTAATGATAGTTTTAATTTGTAAAAAAAGATGCATTTTTATTTTGAAAGAAAATATACAAATAAATTTTTTAATTAATTGAACTCCACTTTCATTCTTCAATGGGTAGCTTGACAATTTAGATAGAATCAACGCTCACTGCAGTTGAATGCTGAATAAATATAATTTCATTAATCAAGGTTAACGTACAGTATACAGATTAAAATGTAATATATATATATACAGCCTAATCCTTAAAGGGAAACCTAAAGTTGTAAAAAACCGGTTTGTCATATGTATATATATACACACACAGTATACTAACTGGTCCAATTACCTGAAGGTAATATCAGGCCCAGTTGTAATCTATCACTAAACAATCCTCCCCTTCCAGGATGGGATGGGATGATCAAACTTTTTGAGAGTGCAACATACCCTTGTATTTATTTTTTTCCCTTGTCCAATTTCCAAAAATGCCTCGTTGCTACTTTACATTTGCCAGCTACATCATTTATGATCCTATTTACGTTTGTTACGACTTGAGTGAACTAACATATTAATTTAATAATAATAATAACAATTAGCTACAAATTTAATTAATCAAGTTAATTTCTAATTCAGATTCTTGATCATCAAACGTAGCATTTGTAAAATTTCCTATGATAATTATCCTTCTTGGATATTAACCTTTATTTATCCCAGAACGCACATTTTTACAGTTGCTTTTATAATTTGGGAATTTTGATAATTCTATTTATCATTATCATTGTTGTTGTTGATGATATGTCAATATTCGAGGAGAAAAAAGAAGAATTTCGAATTGGACAATTTGATGATCAAAAGGAGGAAGTGAAGGAGGAATTGACTATGATTCAAATTGAATTTTTGTAATTTTTGTAGTTACTAACTAGATATTACTATTTACTTTTATTTTCTTGATTTTTATAAGAAATTTTCTTTGTTGCTTTTCCAAAGAGACCGTTTTGTTTTGCTACTAAACCTAATTACAATATATTAACTAGTGATAGTTTATACTTTTGAATTCAATACATTGATATCCAGTATAATTTTAGACATATTTCAAAAATTTTGGGCGCATATGTTATTCCAAGTTTTCATATCATAACATGTGACATTATATAAAAATATAAAATATAAAAATCCGACTTGGCGTTTTAACAAAGTGAAAATATTTTTTTTTGAGAATAATAATAACGGTTACATTATTTGCGGAATTGAGTGGCGTGTAACAAACAAATTCTCGTAATATTATTCGTTCACTTACTTCCTGGTAATAATAATAATGGGGTTTTTTTTTTTACAATTAAATATTTTATTGATTGCCTTTAAATGTTTTTCTAACAGGATTAATTGATAAAGAATATAAATCTTGAAATAATAATTTCACTTTATCATCGCCAAACTCTAGTGATTGATAAAGAATTTCAGCATTCTTTGTTTTCTATTTTAAATCTTCCAAATTAAAACTTACAAAGATCTGTACTAAAACCTGTTTTATGTACCAACATCGATTAGCCAATGTTGTTTCAAAGTCTGATACTATTATGTGTAGTTAACTTCAAAGTCAAAATTCAAAAAAAAATCAAGTTAACACAACTCGTATGGTGTAAAAATTCCTCTGCACACTAATATTGACCTGCCTATGTGTGTCTCAAACTGAGAAGTCAAACGCAATTCGTTTTTTTTTCATTTTATGAAATGTAATAATAAAAGAAGAAATATTAATGATAGTTTTAATTTGTAAAAAAAGATGCATTTTTATTTTGAAAGAAAATATACAAATAAATTTTTTAATTAATTGAACTCCACTTTCATTCTTCAATGGGTAGCTTGACAATTTAGATAGAATCAACGCTCACTGCAGTTGAATGCTGAATAAATATAATTTCATTAATCAAGGTTAACGTACAGTATACAGATTAAAATGTAATATATATATATACAGCCTAATCCTTAAAGGGAAACCTAAAGTTGTAAAAAACCGGTTTGTCATATGTATATATATACACACACAGTATACTAACTGGTCCAATTACCTGAAGGTAATATCAGGCCCAGTTGTAATCTATCACTAAACAATCCTCCCCTTCCAGGATGGGATGGGATGATCAAACTTTTTGAGAGTGCAACATACCCTTGTATTTATTTTTTTCCCTTGTCCAATTTCCAAAAATGCCTCGTTGCTACTTTACATTTGCCAGCTACATCATTTATGATCCTATTTACGTTTGTTACGACTTGAGTGAACTAACATATTAATTTAATAATAATAATAACAATTAGCTACAAATTTAATTAATCAAGTTAATTTCTAATTCAGATTCTTGATCATCAAACGTAGCATTTGTAAAATTTCCTATGATAATTATCCTTCTTGGATATTAACCTTTATTTATCCCAGAACGCACATTTTTACAGTTGCTTTTATAATTTGGGAATTTTGATAATTCTATTTATCATTATCATTGTTGTTGTTGATGATATGTCAATATTCGAGGAGAAAAAAGAAGAATTTCGAATTGGACAATTTGATGATCAAAAGGAGGAAGTGAAGGAGGAATTGACTATGATTCAAATTGAATTTTTGTAATTTTTGTAGTTACTAACTAGATATTACTATTTACTTTTATTTTCTTGATTTTTATAAGAAATTTTCTTTGTTGCTTTTCCAAAGAGACCGTTTTGTTTTGCTACTAAACCTAATTACAATATATTAACTAGTGATAGTTTATACTTTTGAATTCAATACATTGATATCCAGTATAATTTTAGACATATTTCAAAAATTTTGGGCGCATATGTTATTCCAAGTTTTCATATCATGAAAACTGAAGCTTTAATATGTCCTTTATGCTAGTTAAGAACACTGTTATGTTCGTTAGACACTAAATTTATCACAAAAGAAAATTGTCTAACGACAAAAAAATCTATAATAATCTCTTTACTTGTATCAAGTAGACATTCCTCAATTTGCTTAAAAGATAGTAATTGGCTGTAAATTTAAATAAAAATTTCACATCTTGATAGATATTCCAAGTTATTAGGGTTCCTTCTTCAATTGGGACAGTGCTCTCCTTACAAAGTATTTCTAACATTACTAAACACGTTGAGTAAGTTGTCAACGTCATTAGAAAGCTCTTTTTTTATATCTCTGGATGGAATTGAAAATGGTTAATATAACGGAATATGAATAAGATGAATGATTTTGTTCTTGTCAACTTTTCCTATTTTTTTTTTTTTTTAATAAAAAATAGAAAAAAGAAAATACAAATAATCAATCATTTGTTTCAGATTAGAATGGAAGCCTATTTATCTTTACAAAGGGATGGCTTCACCAAAGAGATTTTAACACAATTGTCAAATAAAATGTTTGAATGAGCACATATTTCTATATCCTTATTATTCTAAATCTGATCTTAAAAATTGCATTTTCTATTGTTTTCAGCAGAAACATATAAAAGCTTACATAAAACAACAAAAGAAACTCTAACATGTAAATGATAAAAATAGTAAGTATAAAAAATTGTAATATTGTAACCAATTACAAGATTAATGGCTGATTTTTATTATTATTCTATAATAGATAAAACGAAAAATATTATAATATAAAAAAAATACAGAATCTATTGATTCGATTGTTCATATAATAAAAGACTTACATGCGATAAGGCTTATTTTTTAAAATAGATATATGTATTTCAACTGAATAAGATAAATAAATTTATTATTGAGTTTCCATTTTATATTACAAAATGAATTTTAATTGCTAAAATTATTATTGGAACTATCATGAAAAGTACACAGTTAAACTCGATAAATCGCCATTGATTATATTCAACAATATTAATTATTATTATATAAACAATAATAAACTTATTTATAAATTTATCATAATAATAAGATATTAAAATATTCAATGAAAAATAAATGCAAGTAATGATTTAATGCGAGTCCAACAAGAAAACGCGGTGACAACAATAACCAAATTTGGAAAAATAATGCGTTGTGATTTCCTATATCATCTATCATCCATACATATATTGTTAAAAATCAGATATTATCATTTTTGACACATTCGAAAGAGAAAGTACTGTGATAATAATGAGCAAATTTAGGAAAAATATTTCAAATAAAACGTCAGGAGAGATTTATCATTAATTATTATGACCAAATAAAAAAAGCGTTGTGACATTATTTATATTCAGATTATCAAATGACTGACTAACTTCGTTTGTTTTGTTTGCTATAACATTAATTTCACAGAGTGGTAACAAACACTAATTTCGTTTTGTTTGCTATAAAGTGTAACAAATACTAATTTCATTTTTGTGTCAACAACTATGAAATTTTTCCACATACATATATGTTACTCGTTATAACATGTAATTATTATATTAATATACTTTTTAAAGTAGTTTTCAACCGGATTATCTTTTAAGTTTTCTGTCTCCTGCAACATTTTCTAATCTTGGTTTTTCAAAAAATATATATTGCAATTACTAAAGAAAATGAAGTAATAAATTTGTACTATATACGACAAATCAAATCATTTCACGAATTGTTTAGGAGCACTGATTTACAAGATTTTTCCGGTTTTATTATTAATTTATCGACGATCGAAAGCATAAGATAATGATTTTCATCTTTAAAAATATATTCATTGAATGTAACTTCATTCTATTTGTATCTTTATTTTAAAATAAAATTCAATCTGTACAACGAAACAATGAAGCCTACAAAATGGCATGTTTAATAGTTGATTTTCTTTCTTTTTCCACAAATATTCTAGTATTGGTCAGAATGAAAGAAATTATTTTGAAAGAGAACCTCAAGAAAACAATTACCTCTTCAAAATGCATTCACACCTACCGTCCACAAAACTCAAGGATCGACCCTACCTCGTGCAATTGTAGAGATGTTAATCAGTCCCGAACAGTCCGGTCCGGTCCTGGGACTTAAAGTCCTAGAAAAAGTCCCAAAAAGTCCTCATCCATTTTTCAAACAGTATATTTATTATATATTTTTATTATATATTTTATTTTTATTTATATATTTTATTATTATAAATGTTTGTAAATGTAAAAAAATTATATTAAAAAAAAATATATTATTATAAATGTTGTTTGTAAATATAAAAAAAAAAATATATTAAAAAATTTTAAATATATTTAACATATTTTATATTGAAACAATATTTGCTTCAATCCAACTTTTAAGGCATAAACTTGTTCATGCCTTTTCAGGATCCAATCTATTATGAACTGGACTTAGTGTGTTTAGCTATGCTAAAAGCTGACTCACTTAACACACTAGTTGATTGTATTGAAAAAAAATCATGAGCCATATGTGACAAAACAGTATAATTAGGATCTTTAAATCTTGTAGAATACCAATCCAGGCAATTTTACTTCTTCTGGCATTTCTAAATATCTTTTGATAAATTCATTGTTTGAAGTTGATTGATTATAATGATTTTGAAATGATCTTTTAAAATAACTACATGTTGATGTTGAATTTATTGATGTGACTTCTAAAGATAAATTATATTTTTCTGAATACAATATATCATCAATATTTTCATCATTGCCATTAATAAAAACAAAAGGTTGTGATTGTTGTTGTGCTTCAATTTGGTTTGTAAAGATCAAATTCACCATTGACTTCAAAGCTATTTTCAAATTGATGATGACATTTTGAATTTTTTTTTAAATATTTATGTTACACACGGACTTATAGGGACTTTAAGTCACAAATGGTAGGACTGAACCTGAAACAGTTCAGTTCCGGACTTTTTGGGACCCAGTCCCAAAGGACCGATCAACATCCCTATGCAATTGTATCTTCTGTAGATGAAAACATCTTTTCAGAAGGTCAAGTATATGTGTTACTCACTCTAAACAGAGGAAATTCTTTTAAATTCTTTTAGATGGACTTCAAATCTTAAATTTTGATTATTCTCAAATTAAATGTTTCAAAAAGTGCCGCAAACGAAGATTAAAAAAATGGATTAATTAATTTATTAAAATAAATAATGCGTTGAATAAAAATATATTTTTAGAATATTAAAGTAAAACTTTAGTTGTAAAAATAAAATAAAAAAAAACTGCATGAAAACGAATTTGCCAAGTGAAAATTAAATTAACCAATCAAAAGATTTTTATATTTCACACAAACTGTTCCATTGGACACAAATAAATTCCATTGGTCAATATCAATTTGAAGAACTATATTGGGAAAATTCTAATGTTCAATCTTGAAAAATAAAACATTGCCAAATTAGTATAATCATTTAATGGCCATTTAAAATTTAAACTATGTAATTAATTTTAAAATTAACACAAATAATAATTAGTACGAATTCAAAAATTTACCAAAATATATCATTATCTACTTGCTAAATAAAGCATTGTTTGTATTTAGATTATCAAATGACTAACAACATTATTTTGCTCGTTATATATAATTTTCAATTTGTTTTCTGTGACGAACAAAACACTGATTTTGTTTTGTTCGCTGTGGAGTATAACTCCATTTTGTTGAGAACACTAATTTCAATTCGTATACGTAAAGAGTAATTCTCTTTTGTTATTATTATAAAATGTAATGAATGACTATTTTATTTTTGCTTTGTCAAAAATTGTAACAAACACTAATTTCGCAAAAAATTATATATAACAAATGAAACTTTCGTCTCCACTTTTACATTATTTACATTCGCATCCACATTCGCATCCACATACACTCACTCTCAAAATTCCGATTTAAAATTATTATAACTTTCTTTTATTACGTTATCCTGTCTTTTAAAAATTTCATTAAAATTATTATTTCATAATGAAAGGCCATATAATCCCTTTTAGACAACCTTACTCTCTCTTTGACTTACTTTTTCGCCCTAAACGCGAATTCAAAGCAGAATGGCAACTCGATTATCATGGGTTTATGACTCGTGAAGAATTCGACATTCGACTTGAAGATATCAATAGACACATACGCCACCTCCCACTAATGACCGAGGTGGTAAGAAAAATTTTGTCGTACGTTGTGCTCGTATGTGCACTAGGACTGACGATTTATATGCTTACACTTGGCCCAGGTGCTGGAGCATTATTTGCGTTATTCTTTTTTTTCGTTAGTTACTTTGGTGGATTATATTTGGTTGATCATCTTGCAGAACAACGCGCTGCACAATTTACCTCTGCATTGAAAGCTCTATTCGTCACATACAACAATGTTGACAACCCAACCGCCAACTGGAGTGTCCTATGGGTAACTGCGGTAACCGGATGGAAGACAAAGACGACATCAGATGGAAATGGAGGATCAACCAGCAGAACCAAACCCAAATTTGCCGAATATGTCATGATAGTGCTTGATATCAACGACGCTCTCTCTGACCTTACATCTAATACCGTTAATGTGAAATTCACTAGCACATTCCCCAACAATGTGAATGGAGCCATTACAATGGCAAATAATATTAATGAAAAACATCATCAACAATTTGCTGGAAATAGTATAAATATGATGGTATAATAACCATCTTCTATCTTTATCATCCATATAATTTCAATAATTTACAATATTATTAATATTGATATTATTAATTCCCACGAATCAATTGATTCTATAAATAAACTAATGCCATATATTATAAATATTATTTGTAAAACAATAAAGTTATTTTTTATTTTTTCAACCCTTCTAATATTTTTCTTCGTCTATATCATCTCCATCATAGATTGGTGTCTAAATAATAAATTAATTTAGACAATTGAGATTACGATGTCTAAAATATAAATTCCTGTACATTCTTTACGATAATGTCTGAATTTGGTTAGAATGTGTGCCCAGTATTCCATACATTTAGACATTTTAGACATCCATCTATAGCCTCCATTGAGAAGTTTGTCTGATTTGGTTGATATTATAATTCCTAACGATCTAGAGTTGCCGATGTTTTTAAATTATCGGATGTATTTGGTGATTCTAGATGAGCACATGATATGTTTGTATAATTTTTTTTTTACAAGACAGCCTCTTTTGTCTCTAATGATATAAAAAAAATTAGGAAATACAACGATGAAATTTAAAAAAAAATCACCATATGAAGTTATATTGTTGGTCCGAAATAATTGAAAACTTATTCTTGTTCATTCTTTAAATCATTTAATATCATTTAAAGTTGGATGTTTGGATTTGAAATTAAACCGTTCATTAAACATTGTAATCATGCCTAAAAAATATTGATTCTATGATTAATATTAATTCCTAATAAATAATATGATAATTAATCCTTCGATTTTTTCTCAAGTTGGATTTGTTGTTTCTCAATTTTATTCAATCAATACATTTGAAAATGATTTTTATGGCAATCAATAACTTTTGAGTTGCATTCCATTCGGAGCTAGAGATATCATGAAATCATAGTGTTTTCATCGATTTTATTAATATATAGACACAATAAACACACAAATAACGTGAACTAAAATTTTTAAAATAATTGTTATTATGATTTAGCAGGGGGAAAAGAATACCAGATGGTTCAAAAGTTGGAACTAGAAGTGGATTTATACAATTTGTACCATCACTTTACATATTTTTGCCGAACATCCGAGAATCCCAAAAAGCATATATGTATCTATGTATATATAAGGAATGAATGAAGATTTAAAAATCGAAATTTAGTAAATAGAAAGTCAAAGAAATCAATTAATACTTGGCAAGAATTTATCACTTTCATTGTTCTATGAATTCCGCGTTCGAAATTTGTTGGTTTACTAATCCCAAATATTTTGTCACCTCTTTTTTTTCTTTTTCCAACGCTTGAATTACTATTATGTGAAAGGATTTATATAATAAGATCCTCCATGAATGAATAAACCAACTTGCTGTTAAAAATTGGTTTCTTATTACCAGCAGAATACACGTTGAAAGGAAAATAAAAAAAATCAATAAAAATAGATGGCTTCCTTCTGTAACCATAAGTTCAATTCCTTCAATTACATTAATGTTTCTTTTACATTCTCTTGTTCAGTTAGTACTTTTTGGTATCATGGAAATTCGTGTCACATGAAGTTTTTTTAAAAATATCTCGTTATTTTTATAATAAACTCGAACTTCGTTATTAGAGTAAATTGAAAGTACTCCATTAAAGCTTTCTAATGAATACCCTTTCATATTGAAAAGTTTTCTCTACATGAATTCACGACTATTCAAAAACGTTATTACTTTTTCACTTCAAAGCTCAGATTATTTTTCAATATCGCTTTAAAAGGCTTGATAGTAAATGAGAAGGTGTAGAATACCTTAAGCTTTCATATGGTTATTACTTTATCGGGGGTATTGGTTAATAAGTTTTAGAGAGGTTCACGAAAACTATTTTATAGAAATTTAATAGTCATGAAGAACTTTATGTAGATGGGATTCAGCAAAAACTAAAAGGTATTTTATTTATATTTCTGACTTTATATTGATTAAAGTTTTATTAATGATTATTATAAATATCCATCAATCAGTAGTTGTTATATCAAACGACGACAACAAATCATTATATCAACAAAGTTTTTTTTTTCTTAATAAAAAAAAATCCTTTGTCCGGATTTTTTCTTCATGTTTATTTATTTATCCCAGATTAAAGGTCAATGAGATCGATTAGTTTTTTTTTCAAGTCTAACGCTATAGAAGAATAAGATTCATGCGAACATCAAAAATCATTTACAAATTTCGGTTGTTAAAAAAAAAAGATTAAGATCCTTTGCAAAGATTAATATCAATGGATTTTGTTTTTGCGAAAGGAAATTAAAAATAAAATCATCCACTATCTCTCAAATGGTCAAATTAAAAACAATCTGTACATATTGTTTGTTTATCGATCATTGAATTGACGATAATAATAATAACAAAATAAAATGCAAAGAGGTGTTTTTGAATCCCGGTCTCGTGACCCGAAAATATAATAACACTAACACGTTGTGTGATAAGTCTTTGACGATTTGGGATCTGAGGTAAAGGCTCCAAGGTAATTTCAAACGTCTAAAATATCGGAGAGAAAGACGAAAGCCTAATGGTAGACAATGATATACACCACGTAAAAAACATCTAAAGCGAAGCACATTTTCCTTTCAGTCAAGTAACTGCTCCGCTTGAACCTGACGTTTTGAAGAAAAATAGATGAGTTTTTCGGTTACCAAATAGATTGCACGATATGGTGATGTAAAAATAACCATAAACATTTATCATTTTTGGAAAAACGAAAATATTTTTGCTCAAATTTCAATTTTTAACAAATTAATTCAAGTCAACATTGCAAAAAAAAAAAGAAAACGACTCATTACCGTTTGATTTTGATCTCATCCTTCCCAACAATTCAATTTACTAAAGTTAAGCAAAATGAAAATATAAAAATCTACGCAAAAATTACGACATTTAGAAAGGAACTGTAACACAGCAATCTTTCTTTTACATATTAATATTAATAATATTAATTGGTGATCCGTCTATGAATGAGAGGAATGAGAGAAATGTCGATAAAAATACAGCATAGTAAAGTTTGTTGTTACACGAAATGTTATATAGAATCCATTGCTCCTGAAACTTCACCAGTTACCTTTAAATTGGAGATCAAGTTCAAACCCAAATTTATCATTCACTTTTTATTGCCAGAATGTTTGCCGTGTATTGTAAAGTTACATTTCAAATTTCCACTATGCTCAAAAATACGGGAAATTTTAATCGACAAAAAAATATTCTATATACACAATAAATATTTAAAAAATTAAACAAATCATGTCAATTGAAGAACAAAGCAAGCAAGCTTTCCGCCAACAATTTTATATAGCATGTATTACTTGGAAATCAATTCCTCTTTTTTTTTTTCAGTATTTTTAATGTCATATTTTAACTTTAAATGTGTTAGTATATTGGCGTTTAAATTCACAATAAGAAAACGTTTGATTTAAAAAAAAAAAAATTGTATATTAATAAGATTATGGACTTTACTACATTTTAAAAAAATTTATCTAATACTATAACTTTTCGTTTAACTGCATTTTTTGGCTCACAAAAACCATCATTATTTTGTAGGATACTAAAAATGACAAGATTGAATGGTTGGTAATTTATAAGGCATTTATATACATTGTTATTAAAAGTTTTTACAAAAGCTACAATGAAAACCCAAAGAGCGTTCAAATAGTCTACATTGTCATGAACAATTTACATACTTGTTTTTTTTCCCGTATATTAAAAAAAGTGGTGGTGGTGATTATTGATCTATTACTTGCTACTCTAGTTAAAAATAAAGAAAATTTGAAGTGAATAAATATGATTGACTTTGGACCATCGAAAACATTAATTAAAAAAATTTTTTTTACACATTTAAAACAAATATCATTAAAAAATAAAACAAACATGACTTAGCTATTTAATTATTTCCTTGTGTGTGAATGCCTCCATCCCATCAAATATTCATGATGATCATGATTATTATGCAATACATTTGATGTTATAATTGGCATGACAAACAATTGCATCACCCAGGTAGTAATGATATCAAGACCATGCAGAAATGAAACTTTTAACAATGTGTGTCTACCCAGATCTCTGGGGTTCACAAGAATAAATGAATAGGAAGGATCTAAAAAAATTATTTTTCCTGATTATAAATCTGATATTGATCACAGGCGTCAGATTTAATTAAATTTTCCTGTCACCAACATTGAATTATCACGCTTCAGTAACTGTGTAATTTTTTTTTTCCACAGACTATAAACCCCAACATTATGTGGGAAGGGGCTCCATGTTGGGAAGGCTTTAGACAAAAACTTTCCCTCATCTTCCTCTCAGACCAGGCTTGCTGTTGCCATATGGGTGTTGAGGATCAGTATTTGTGTGTTGTACCTCTCTATAATAAAGAACGAGCACGGTGACATTGCGAGCCGTTTTTAAAACTCGTGCTACTTTGGGTTTGTTCAGAAAATTGTTCCAAGAAAGTGAAGAATTTGATTGGTTAATTGCCTCATGGGGTTAGTTTTTCCCAAAGGGTTTGCAGTTTGTTTTTGGAATTGATTAACTATCTCTGCTTGTTGTTTAGTTTGGTTGGTATCTACAACTGTTCAAAATTCTGCAACTTGGGAGATCGCAACCTGGT